TATTGTGGAAACACAATCAGGATAACACAAGATTTAGCTGCTTCTACATTAAGGGACCACAGGGCATGGAATATAGTATTCCAGAGGGCAAAGGAAATAGGATTACAACCAAGAATCACCTACCCAGCAAAGCTGAGTATAATCCTTCAGGGGAAAAAATGGTCATTCAGTGAAATAGAGGACTTTCAAGCATTCTTGTTGAAAAGACCAGAACTGAATAGAAAATTTGACTTTCAAATACAAGACTCAAGTGGAACATGAAGAGGTAAACATGAAAGAGAAATCATAAGAGACTTATTAAGGTTGAACTGTTTACATTCCTGTCTGGAAAGATGATATTTGTAACTCATGAGACCTTTATCAGTATTAGGGTAGTTGGAGAGAAAAAAATTATATGTATGTATATAGAGAGATAGATAGATAGATAGATAGATAGATAGATAGATAGATAGATAGATAGATAGATAGATAGAGGGCACAGAGTGAGTTGAAGATGAAGGGGTGATATCTGGAGAATAAAATTAAGGGGTGAGAGAGGATTACACTAGGAGAAGGAGAAAGGGAGAGGTAGAATGGGGTAAATTATCTCACAAAAAAAACCAGAAAAGACTCTTACAATGGAGGGGAAACAGGGGAAGGTGAGAGGGAATGAGTGAATCTTATTCTCATAGGATTTGACTTAAGAAATAACATACACACTCAATTGGGTATGGAAATCTGTCTTACCCTACAGGAAAATAGGGGGGAAGGGGACAAGAGAGTGGGGGGATGATAGAGAGGAGGGCAGATTGGGAAAGGGGGTAATTAGAAGCAAATACTTCAGAGGAGGGACAGGGTCAAGTGAAAGAATGGAATAAATAGGGAGGCCGGATAGGATTAAGGGAAATAGAGTTAGTTTTTCACAGCATGTCTACTATGGAAGCGTTTTGCATAACTGCACATGTATAACCTATATTGAGTTGCTTGCCTTTTCAATGAGGGTGGGTGGGGAGGGAGGAAGGGAGAAAATTTGGAACCCAAAGTTTTAAAAACACATGTTTAAAAAAAATGTTTTCACATGCAACTGGGAAATAAGAAATACAGGAAATGGGGTACAGAAATCTATCCTGCCCTACAGGAAAGTAGAAGGGGAAGGGGATAAGAGAAGGGGGGGAGAGATAGAAGGGAAGGCAGATAAGAGGAAGGGGTATTCAGAATGCATGCCATCTTGGGGTGGGGGTAGGAGCAAGATGGAGTGAAAATTTGGAACTCAAAATCTTGTGGAAGTAAATGTTGAAAACTAAAAACTAATAAATTTATTAATAAAAAAAAGTTTTTGAACATTTTTTTTGTGTGTGTTTTGACCACAGGGTAGGATCCCCATTCGCCACAGTAAGCAAGCCAGAGTTGGGTTAGGTGAAGCAGACAATTTTAGGGAACCTTTTATAGTCCCATCCTCATGCAGTGAGGTTTAAAAAAAAAAAAGAAAAAGGTTGCTTATACACCCAGGGGACTGCCAAATCCCACTGCTGCTTAGGCCCAGTTAGAAGAGGACTCTATGGTGGCCTGGGCTGCCTGTGTGCAGGGTTGTGACTACAGCTCCCATTGTATCCGCACCTGCTGCTTTGTCACTTTCACATCACCACAGTACTTAGAGGTAGGCAAAAAAGGTAAAATGGTAAGAGTGATGTCTTTTTACTCACACATAAATTGTATTTAAGTGAGGCAGAGTTGCATGAAGCCATCAGCCCCCCTCTCCTTCAGAGTCATCAAATTCCAGTGGCAAGACAAATTCTTGCTGAATTTGTCTGCTAAAAACCATCTGCTGAAACAATTTTGCTAAGGTGTGGTCACTGCACATGATACAGCTTCTTGGAGGCACAAGTGAGAGTTGGGTGGCAGGTAGACACCAAAGTTAGATAGCAGCCCAGAAAAATGCTCAGTGGCCCTCACACTAAAGGTACTAGTTTTCCCTAAACACTCCATGCTCCCCAACATGCACACATTTGAGTAAATACAAGACAATGTGAGAACGGTCATGAAGGAATGGTACTTGAGCTGGGCCAAGAAGGAAGCCAGGGTTTCTAAATGGCAAAGGTGAGGAGGCTAGTACAAAGACATTGAGATGGAAAATGGAATGTCAAATATGAGGGACAGTTCTTAATCCAGTTTGACTAAATTATATCATTTTTGAAAGGCACTAATGTCACAAATCTGGCAAAGTAGGTTGAAACAATACTGAAGGTGAAGGTGAAGGTCTTTAAATGACAGGATTAGGATTTGGTCCTTTATACAAAAGGCAATAGGAAGCCCCTAAGATTTTGAGTAAAGCAGGGATAAGGTCAGATCTGTACCTTAGGAAGATATTTCCTCTCTATGAAAAGTGCCATTGGAGAGCAGAGAGACTTGTCTAACTCCTTCATTTTACAAAGAAAGCTTTCCCAGAGTCACCAGGATTTGGATCATCAAACCCAGAAGTTAAAACCTAGGTTCCATGTACTCTTTCCTCTGCATCTTGCTGCCTGCCCAGACAGCCACTGCAAAGTGGCTAGAATGCTGACCCTAGCATCAGGACCTGTGTTTGAATGTCAGCTCTGGGTGATCCTAGCCAGACATCTTCATTGTTCTGGACCTCAGTCTCTTCATCTTTTAAGTGGGCATATTAATATCACCAACATAGAGGTGATGAGAACTGGGTTAGTGGCAGTGTGAATAGAGAGAAGATATTACAATACAAAATATATAACACAATACAAGAGATATTGTGGAGATGGAATCAATAAAATAGCATGTAGCAACTGATTGGATATTGATGGGGGAGGAGTTTGGTGAAGAATAGGGAAAAGTCAGAGATGATGCTGAGATCCTGAAGATGCATGGCTTGAAAGATGGTGATTTCCTCAATATAGATAAGGAATTTGGGGGGGGGCGGTGGAAATAGGTAAGTTTAAAAGGAAAATATGTTTGGTTTTAAACCTATTGAGGAGACAACATGGTACAATGGAAAGTGGACCAGATTAGGACCAGTGTTCAAACTCTAGCTCTGCCACTTACTACACATATCACTTCTCTGGGCGTCAGTTTCCTCATCTGTAAACAAGGGGATTGGACAGAAGAATGGCAGCCCAACTTCTAGTTTTCTAATGCTATTTCCACCAGTGACTTTAAGTGCCTCAAATGATCTCCCTCAAATTCCACATTTGTGGGAAAAATAATAACTACACCCCAAAGGGGAAGCCAACAATTCATAATGAAACAATGTTTCAGAGATCAAAAGAATTTATTTTAATAAGCTGCTGCCTCATATATTTCCAAATAATGTGGAACTTTAACAATGAAACAGTTTCATAATAAAGCCTTCAATTTAGAAAGAACCTAAAGACTTTGTTAGACCTACAGTAGGAAACTTGGGGCTTTTGTGAAAAAAGACACAGAGGCTTTAAAACGTCAATATTAAAACATTTCAAAGTAAAATTTAAAAATAATATGAAGGGGTTGTATTAGATGATCTCTAAGCTTCAGTCCCATTTAAATCTATGCTTTGTGCCTTAGTTTGAGTAATAATAGTTAGCACTTATGTAGCACTTTTATACAAATGCCTCATTTTTTTCCTCACCATAACCATTGGAGGTAGGTGCTATTGTTATCCCTATTTTACAGATGAGGAAACTGAGATTGAGGGAGGTTAAGCCAAATTGAAGAACTGTCTGAGGCTAGATTTGATTTATGGTCTCCTTGACTCTAAGTCCAAGGCTCTTTCCATCACACTACCCGTCTACCTAGTGACCCACCTGAATTACTCATTGGGATATCCAAGGGTCCTAAAGGTCACTCACCCTTCCTGAAGGTGGCTGGAGATGTGGTGCTGGAGCTCAGTGGAGTGCAGGAGAGATCTGAGAGTCATTGGTATTGTTGTATGTCCTTCCTTCTGAAAGAGGACCATGACATTAGGAAGGTGATGCCATGACATGTAAGTGAATTTGACTTCAGTGAGGGAGGACTGTGCAAAGTCACCAGCCTCACCTGCTCCTACTGAGCCCTCTGGGTCCAGTGGCAAGATAGAAGTCAGGAGGACTGGAGATGGCCCGGACAAAGTGGGAGACCTTGGCCTTCTTAAGCTAAGGTCTTTAACAGGTCTCAGTCATTGGTATACCAGCTAGCTGAAAGCAACGGAGTGGTTCAATCACTCAGGGGACAGGGTGTAGAGACAAAAGGGCCCAGTGCAGAGCCCTTGGGGGCACCCAAGCTTAGGGACAGGAGCAGGAGTGTGCTACAGTCAGCTCATCCTGGTTCACAAGAGCTGGTTGTTAAACTTTCCGTGGGAGCATTTACGCCGCAGAAATTGGCAAACACTACAAATCAGGGCCCGGTTGATGGTTTTGTTCATTGTCTAGACCTAAGAAAGAGATGGAAATGTTGGTAGTACAAACCAAACTTAAATGTGTTTCTTGTGAATTCGTTAAAAAAAAAAACAAAAATTCCGGCGAGACAACTGTTAAATTTACAAGGACATCCCTGGACGGGAGAATCAGGAAGAGTATCCGGCACAGGGGAGAGGGTTGCAGGGTCCGGTCCAGACGGAGGCGACGTTGGGAGTAGGGGTGAGGGCCAAAGGCAGCTCCCTCTTCTTGGACTCGTTCCACAAGGAGGGTCTGGGCTGTTGGATGGACTACCGAGCTCTCGAGTCCTCCTTGCAGCCCAGAGTGGCCCCAGTGTTCGAGAACGGAACTTCCGCTCTCTGCGGGGCGGGCCCGGGGCCCCGCCCCCCCCGGAGCCCAGAGGCGGAGTACTAGGGTGGCCGAACGGGCGTGGCCCCGACGTCCGGGAGTCCGGCCCGCCCATTTTACACATGGGGAATACTGAGTCCGGGCGAGGCTCCGGCGCTAGTCTCACGTCACCCCGCGGGCCCCTGGCGGTGTGCGCGTCGGGTCCCCGAGCCTGAGCTTCGGGCTCCGTGCATCAGGAACGTCCCGAGCCCAGCGAGCGGAGCAGCGACCTCGGCATCGAGCGCGCGCGGGGCCATGGCGGCCTTCGGGGCCCGGGTGGAGCCGCCGCCGCCTCCTCAGCCTCTGCAGCCGCCGCAGCCGCAGCCGTGGGCGGCGTCGGGCCCGCGCTTCCGCTGGTACCGCTACCAGGAGGCGGCCGGGCCGCGGCAGGCGCTGCGGAGGCTCCGCGAGCTGTGCCGCCAGTGGCTGCGGCCCGAGCGCCACAGCAAGGAGCAGATCCTGGAGCTGCTGGTGCTCGAGCAGTTCCTGACCATCCTGCCGGCCGACGTGCAGGCCTGGGTGCGAGGCCGCAGCCCGCGCTCCGGGGACGAGGCGGCCGCCGGCGTGGAGCTGCTGCTGCGGCTGAGGCTGCAGCAGGAGCAGGGGGCCGAGCCGCAGGTCAGCGCCCCGACGGGACGGGCCCGGGAAGGGGGAGGGGCAGGGGCGACGGGGGGCTGGGGGATGCACTGCCGGCGGCCTCCCTCCGGTACACGCGGCCTCCTGGGCAGGCCCCTCCAGCACTTATATTGTGTTAGATTGTTTTATGCCGTTATACTCATGTATCATCACATTATATCATATGATACATGTAACATCTTATATCTTGTCAAATATGTCATATGAAATAGTATGTCAGCTATCTTATAGTACATCATGTTTTAACATTATATCATATCATATTGTATATTGCATCCTGGGGGTAGTAAGTAGGTAGAGCACTGGACCTGTTGTTCAAATCCAGCCTCAGACATTTACTAGCTGGGAGACCCTGGGCAAGTCACTTAACTTAATCTGCTTCATTTTCTCCACCTTTTTTAAAACAAGAAAGAAAAGGGAATAATAATAGCTCCTACCTCTCAGAATTATTGCCAGGTTAAAAGGAGATAAAATATGTCCAGTGCCTTGTACATGTGCATTTTACAAGCGTGGAAGTTGAGGCAGGCAGAGGTGAAAGGACTTGCCAGGGATTACCCAGCTAGTAAGTGGCTTCTCAGGTCTTCCTCATTCCCCTGGCCACCTAGCTGTCACCCTAGGTAATTCTCAGTGTCAATGGATAGAGAACTGGCCTTGTCAGGTACAGCCTCTGTCCTATGGAGGCTGTATGTGGCCTTGGGCAAGTCAGTTAACCTTGATGCCTCCTGGGGAACTGCTAAGACAACAAATTTTAGGGAAGGTGTCAATCTGCTTTGGTGGCACTCCCCACTTCCAGGAAATCACTGGTCCTTTTAGGAAAACAAACAATACAATATTATAAGTACTTTAGATAAGTATAAACCAAGAAAGCTCATTCCTAACTAGGGAGGATCCCGGAAGGCTTCTTTAAGAAACTTGAAGGTCGAGTTGGATTTGGAAGGGAGGGAGCATTGGAAGGAAGGGCAGGGTGGGCCTGCCTGAGAAAAAATACGGAGAGGAGAATCAATTATAAAGCATTTATTAAGGGCCTACCATGTGCCAGGAACTGTGCTGGGAATACAGAAACAAAAGTTGTACAGCCCCTGCTCAGGAGTTTGACTGTGAAAGGGAGGAGAGATAGAAGGTTGGTGGAGGCATGACCATGTTTATGGGGATCAGGAGTGAGCCAGGAGATTGAAGACTAGAGGGGGAAGAAGCGGGGTATGGTTTTCTATTATCTGTGGAGGAATTGGAAGGGAATAGAATCAAGAAGACAAGGAGAGGGGTTTGGCCTTGGCAAGAGAAGAGCAAATATGTCTTGGAGGCTAGAGAGTAGTCTTTTTGGCAGGAGTGGAGGGTTCATGGAACAGTGGGCGATGATGGAGAGAGCCTGTCAAGGTTTCTGGATTTGAATGCTGGCTGGCTATGTTACTAATTGCATGATTTTGAGTGAGTCACTTCAACTAGATGATCTCTTAGGTCTCTTCTAGCTTTAATGATCTCTGACTGTGACTAACTCTGTGAGGCTAAGAAAGGTTGGTACAGGCCAGGGGTGGAGAACCTGGGGCTTTAAGGCCACATGTGTTGTTCTAGGTCCTTAAGCATTTGACTGAATCCAAATTTTACAGAACAAATCCTTTTATTAAAAGGACTATCGGGGCAGCTAGGTGGCTCGGTGGATAGAGCACTGGCGCTGGAGTCTGGAGGACCAGAGCTCAAATCCAGCCTCAGACATGTAACACTCACTAGCTGTGTGACTGTGAGCAAGTCACTTAACCCTGATTGCCTCAAAAAAAGGGGGGGGGGACTATTTATTTATTATTATTCATTCTGAAGGCCGAGCTTAAGGACCTAGAAGGCCTTAAGGCTGAAAGTTCCCCACCCTGGTATAGGCCATGTTATAGAGGTCTTTAAATGCCAAAGGGTTTTGAAGAGCACTGTATGTGGGTCTCTGAGTGTGCATTTGTTTCAGCAGTAGGTCCTCATCATGTGGGTCTACTTGTTTGTCCTCATAGGAGAACAGGTGCTTCCTCAATCAGAACAAATTCCCACAGAAATTGGAGCCCTGCATTTAGTTCATCAAGTGTCCCATTCCTGGGACAGATCTCTTTGTGAGGTAGACAGGTGTACAGGCCTTTAGTTTGAGCTGGGGTTTTCCTAGGTGGGGGCAGGTAAGCTGGCTGCCCTTTTCCCCTTAGCTGTAGTGTTTAAACCACTGCCTTCAGGATGCAGGCCTTAAAACAACCTTGACTCTTGAGTTCTAGGCACAATGCTGATGCACACTTTTGTATTTCTACAACTGAAGCAATCCTCACAACTGGCTCTTTCTCCTTTTTTTTCCCCCCCAAGCAAACTAGATCTCTGTCTCTCCAGCGACACACATTCCTATTTTCTTTTTATCACACCTAACACACCTTGTGCAATTGAACTGCAGACTTTGATTTTCCTATTTGGATTTGGTTTTCTAGTTTGCTGTTCAGACTGTTTGTGTATAGCTCTTCCTGAGCTTTCTGGCTATAACTAGAAGCATGGTTTCACACTGTTAGAACTGCTTTTCATGGAATTGTCACAGGAAGACAGTTGTCGCCTTCCCTTGAAGAAGGCTTCACTCTAGAAACTAAGGTTCTTTCCAAGGCAAACTTGTTTCTGAATGTTTCATTCCAGTGTGCTGGTCAGCCTGTACTCAGAAAAGTGAGATATTTTCCAGGGCCTTCTTGTGAATGTTTTCTTTACACAGATTTTCACATTATCCTTTTGAAAATAGTGACATGTTTCCAGAACTGAGCCTCCCTCAAGAGATTCTAGACTCAGTTATGGAATTTCCAAGGATTTGAGAAGGTTCTGTACTTTAGGCTTCTCAGCAGAGGCCAGTCTTGTCAGTTGGCACTAGGAATACCCTTATACATGTTTACAGAACCTAAGACCGTCTCATCTAACTCAAGAATTCTTTCTGCATGATCTCCAACATCTCCTACAGCTCTCCTCCTTAAATTTCCCCCTCAGTCTTCTCCAAGCTCAGCTTTCCATAGAATCTCGTAGTTGGAAAGGATCTTAGAAGTCACCCAGTTCAGAAATCCCTTCTGTAACATCTCCAACAAGTACTTATCCTGCCCTACGGAAAGACCTAGAGTGAGGGGAGCCTGCTTCCTTTTGAAGTTTTTCTTCCTAAAACTGATGATCCCTTTGATGCTTTCATGTTTGCCTATTTTGCACTTGCTCTTCTTAAAGCCCATCATGTACACAGCTTAAAAATCTGTTGTGGATTTTGCCTAGAAGTACTTTATTTAGTACTTCAGGACCCATGATCTGCAAACTAAAACAAGAAATTGAATTCCTAAGGAAAAAAAAATCCAAAAAGCAATGCAATTATCTCTTTGAGGAACTTGAGAATTGGAACAACTTTTACCTTTGGAAATACCATGTATATACTTTTGGGATAGTTACTTGACAACAGAGAAGATACTAGAAATTTTTGACACTGCCATCAAACATGGCAGGACCAGAGGATTTAAGCTAGACTCTGTGACCTGAGTCTGTTTGCTGCTGAAGTAAAAGTAGAAACTGCTAGGGATTTGGAAGGGACCATCACCATATGGATCCAGAGTAATCCATCCAGACCTTCTACTGGACAGATGTTAGCAGTAATTCTTGAGAGACTGCACTTCAGAACGGAAAATTCAGTTTTTGACCCCTCTTTTTAATGGTTATCATTACATAGTTTAATTAGATGCTTTATACTTACTTTTCCAGTATCTTACTGTAGGAATTGATATTGCTGTACAAATATACAAGCAGATATTTGAAAAATTCTTAAGGGTCCATTTCACCAGGATTCTCAGGGCCAAATGAAAATATTGGAGCCTAAAGTTTGGCTGCTCCCCTTGAAGCTATTGTACTTATTCACACAAATCTTCTTGTATTTGGGTATATCAAAGTTAGTGTTTTCCCTTTGAATTCTCTGCTAGAGATACTCAGAGACTTTAAAATTCTTTGGAGGTCATCTGTACACAGATGTGAAACAAGGTCCATAACACCAGCAAGACAAGAAGATTTTTTAATGTCATCCCAAGGTCTGCTAAATCCCTGGAGCCAGAGCTCTTTTGTAATCTATGCCAAAAAAAAAAAATAAGAAAAAGGCTGGGTGAAAACTGTACAGAATAGATAGTAAAGCAATTCATTCAACTATTTCTGAACTGGGTTTTTCAAAGGAAATGTAGCAATTGCCTATTGTTATGAGTATGTGTTGATAGAGGGTGCATGTGCAAGAGCACCTTGGCCCAAGGACAGGGCTTGAAGGCATATTTACATATATGTATATGTTACCTATGTATACATATATGTATATGTTATGTGTGTATACACACAGACATTGGAGTAATTGCCTGATTATATCCTGGACATCTTGGCTCTGATAACAGAAGAAATTTCAAATGCCAGTAGAACTGATGATAAGATAAGGGGCAGCTGGGTGGCACATTGGATAGAGTGCCAGGCCTAGAGTCCAGAAAATTCCTCTAGGTTCAAATCTGGCCTCAGACACTTACTAGCTGGGTGACCCTGAGCAAATCACTTAATCCTGTTTACCTTAGTTTCCTCATCTGTAAAATGAACTGGAGAAGGAAAGGGCAAACCACTCCACTATCTTTGCCAAGAAAACCCCACATGGGGTCACAAGGAATCAGACATGACTGAACAACAGCAAACTAGAGGATTAATTTTCTAAAACTGAAGTTTGACAGCCTTTTGTTAGCTTTGGAACTCAAGTTAGGACTCCTGTACTCACGTTGATCTTTAAATTTTTTTTAAAAAATGTCAAGGGTATAGTCCTATATGAAATATTTCAAGGTGCCAGCTATCTCTCACGTACTACACATGTTTAGATGTCTTATTTAAAAAGAAATATATTATTTTATAGATTGTATGTGTGATAATACAGGTATACATTACAGAAATGCAAACAGTAATGCTTGGAGACCATTAAATAAATGCTTTCTTGTTGGATCCCTTCTAGCCTTTGCTCAGTACGGTTAGTTCCACAGCCCGGGAAGGTTACCTTGGTCAATGTCAGCATATTAAATCTGGCTCCTTAGTTCACTTCTTGGAGATCAGGAGCCAAATAGGCTTGTTTTAGCTGTCCCTCATGCCTGGAATGCACTCCTTCCTCACCTTCATTTCTCAAAGTCCTTCTCAGAATAGCTTCTTTTAGAGCTCAGCTCAAGTGCCACCTCGTACAAGAAGTCTTTCTTAATCCTCCCCACCCTACCCCCATCACCTTGTATTTTGTCTGTACCTGGTTAATCCTCAAGGACAAAGACTTTTCATTTTTGTCTTTGTGTTTCTGCTGCCAGCCTAGTGCCTAGCATATACTAGAGCCCAATAAATCCTTGTGGATTGATTGATTGTTCAGTAACATCAGGGTGAGTAAAGCCACTAATGAAGACTACAGCTCTTCTGTGGTAGTAGAGAGAGCAATGTAGAATTTATTGTTTGAAGTTTATTCCTCTTGTCTTCCTCTGTGATCTTGTAAGCTTCTTAAGGGCAGAGACTGACTTCAGAGTCCTCTGGAACCTTGTGCAGAGCTAAAGACTTAGGAAGTGCTCAGGAGCAGGAAGGGGTGGGATAGAAAGTTTAGACAGGCTCTTAGTCCAGCAGAGAGATAAGCTATAAACAGTGATAACTCTAATATACAAAAATTTGTGATGAATTCTAACATTATAAAACACAGCTTGAAGTTACTGCATGGTTGTTACTGATGGATTAAAAAAAAAATCTCTGTGGAAGGAGTGGTATTTGAGTCAAGTTTTAAAGGCTTATGGATTTTGGTCCTCCTATGTCATCTGCCCAGAGGATTGCCCAACTCTACAGATCTAGTTCTCAGGAAGGGGCTAAGCCAGGATTTGAACCCACATTGTTGAACTCCAAATCTAGCACTTTCCACTACATTACTGGCATATACCTCAGGAAGGCAAAGATAAGGAAGTGGGAAGGAGGATATTTTAGGCATAAGGAACAGGAAGAAAAAGGCACAGGGGCAAGAGAACACAAAATTAGGGGGAGGGCCCCACAGTGCAAAATATTTCCATTCATAGATTTGTCCTCAGCACAGAACAGAGCCTGGAATGGCAGACTTATGACTCCCTAAAGCTCTCTCTTTCCTCTACAATATATAGTTTCTGCCTATTGCTTTAGAAAGAAAATTGGATTTTAATAAGTTTGAGTTTGAATCCTGTCTGTGCCGCCTGCTTATTCTGTGACCTTGGGCAAACCAACTTTTCCTCTCCTTTCCGTTCTGCTTCTTCATAAGTGAAGAGGTCAAACAAGATTATCTCCAGTCTTCCAACTCTGAGACTCCATGACTGATTGTTGATGTTTAGGTTTTTTTCCAACAAATCAGAAGCTGTCCTTTCTTACAAGCTGAGAGACTCCTTGCCCTGAAAAGTAAAAGCATGAATGTTCATAAAAGGACTGGGACAGATTCCTACTGGGTAGCTCTCATGGATCCAGTTGCCTGTCTCATAAGATAGATGCAGTATAGCCAAGTTTCAGAGCCGTCCCTGGCAATAAGAGCGCTTTTAAAACAGGAATGATACAAGGAAGGGAGTGGATTTCAATCAGGGCCAACCAGATTACATAGGAATACAGTTTTTCTCAAAATGTGGGTAAAGTAAATTGTAAGAAAGTAAAAAATGCCATTTATGTTGATGCCAGAGTTCTCTACCTAAATCTCCTGTGGCTGGAACTCCTCTTAGTTGTATCTCTGGAGTACAGTGAACCTATTCTGTGCCATTTCCATGGGGCAGTGGGTTAAAGCAGTGGACTTTGAGTCAGGAAGATATGAATTCAAAGCCTGCATCAAACACTAGCTGTAATTCTCCAGGCAAGTCACTTAACTTGGGCCTTAGTTTCCTTGTCTATAAAATCGGGATTAGATTCAACATCTGGGGTCCCTTCTAATTCTAAATCTATGATCTATATATACCCTATGCACCTTATCTGTTAATAGCATCCAAGGTTTCTCTCAAATCCTTTCTATTGCCTGCAGTCCTACACTCTGGAGTGCTATTTATCTTCATGAATCATGCTTGGCCTTCCTGGATGCCTCCATGCCTCACTAATGTTTGTTATCTTTGGTACTCTCCTGCCTTTTCCCCAGGGAGCAGATCTGGAGACAAGATCTCTAGGTGTACCTCTGGCTCCAGATTTCCAGGAAATTGGAACGTTCCCTAGAGCCCAGGGTATGGTTCCTGTCACCATGCTAAGGGTAGACTTCCCTTTCCTCACAGCCCTGTTCTCACCTGCCATGTTCCTAATGGTCCCCCAGGTACCAGGCTTTGCCCAGCAACCAGAAGTGCTATCAGAGGAGAAGGCAACAGAGATGACAATCCTGGGAGGAGTGCCAGAATCATCTGCTTTGCTTCCCGTCAGTGACTCTTCAAGAACAAAGTCTGAATCTCTTCACCATGGAACCTTGGTCTCCCTCCAGGATTCCCAACAAGGTATTCTCTTCTTCCCATTAATGGGACTTAAAGACTTCAAAAATCTATGATTTTACTGGTGCAAGCATTCCATCCACTGAACACACAGATCACAGCCTCTCTATGCTCCATGAATTGCTGTAGCCGAATAATTGTTTTTTAGCGTACCCAATAATTAGTTTTGCTCAACTTGGCAATGCAACTCCTCCGACTGAAGATAGACATTCCATCGTGGGCTCATGCATGAAGCCTTCCCAGTTTGGTAAAATTGCTGGTATTCTGCTGCTAGAGAGTTTGCAAACCTAATCACCTCTATGCCACAATGACAGTAGTACTTTGATGGAGGTTAGATATACCATGTCACAGTGATGTTGCATATATTTATAAAGCCCTTCATTTCCAAAGAGCTTTTATAGACATAACTTAGCCTGAGTCTCACCACAACCATGTGAGACAGATAGTGCAAGTAATGATAACTCCATTTAACAGAAAATTAAACTAAGACCTAGAGACATAAAAGTGACCAGCCTAAGATCACATCAAAACTAAGTCTTTTTCTCTTGGTCCATTGGTCTTTCCATTATACCATTCCATCTGAGAGGAAGCGCCAAGATATATGGTATAAATTATAAGTAGTCCAGAGGAGAAATAGAACTATCCTTGCCCTTCCTCATGGCTGCCTTCTATATTCCTTCCCGTCTATTCCATCTGCATTCCCCAGCTCATCTTCCTCTTTTTTGACAAACCTTGCCAGGCCCTAGGGATGAAAAGGATAGATAAGGCACAAACCCTATTGACAAGGACCCTCCATAGACAAGTATACATATACAGTAACTGGGATACAAAGAAGAGGGGGATAAATTAAAAGGCGTGATACAAAACTGTGTTATGAGAAATAAAAGGAAAGAGATCACTTTCACCTATGGTGGGTCTTGCAGTGGGGAGAGAGAGGTACTGTCATGGACAGCTTCATGGAGTAGATGACTTGAGTTGAGCATTGAAGAAATAGAATAACTTCAACAAATGAGAGTTGGGGAGTTTTTTTTCCAAGGTTGGATATTAGTGTGAGCAAAGTCAAGGAGATGAAAGAGAGGGCAAGCTTAGACCAGCCTGAGATTAGGCTAGTTTATCTGGAATGTAAATTACTTGAAAGGGATTAGTGGAAGATAAAATTGGACTGGTTGATTGAAGCCACTTTTTGATGGGCTTAGAATGTCAGAGTTTGGAGCTTATCCTTTGTGAGGCTATTCAGAGCCCTTGAGGATTTTTTGGTAGAGAAATGACTTGCTCTTATGGAGGTTAGTGTCAGAAGGTGAGCTTGAAAGAAATGGCACCAATTAAAATGCTATTACCATCTCCCTGGTAAGAAGCAGAATCTTGAATTGTTGGGATTGGGGGAAATGGAAGGGGCCAGACTGGAGGGTTATTAACAAAGGTAGAAATGATAGGATTTGATGATGAGAAGTGATGAGGGCCTAAATTAGGGTGGTTGCAATGAGTAGAGGGAAGAGGCTTAATTTGAGTATTTTGTGGGGCAGCTAGGTGGTGCAGTGGATAGAGTACTGGCCCTGGAGTCAGGAGGACCTGAGTTCAAATACGGCCTCAGAAACATAACACTCATTAGCTGTGTGACTCTGGGCAAATCACTTAACCCCAACTGCCTTGCAAAAAAAAAAAAAAATGAGTGTTTGTATGGAGGTAGCTTAAACCAGATTTTAAAAGTGGGATTTAGTAATACTAGAGGAATAGTGGTCCCATTAAAAGAAATAAAGGAGTTGGGGGGAGGATCAGGTTTGGAGGCTTAAATGAGTTTGGATAGGAGCATATTGAATTTGAGATGCTGGCAGAACATATCAATTTGTTCAGCAGGCAGCTGGAAGTACAACACTGGAGTTTTGAGGAGATGTTGCATGTGGCATCATCTGTATGGAGACAATAATTGAAACGATGATAGTACATGAGAGTCTAGAGAACCACCCATATTTAGGAGGTGGTTATAAGAGCAGCTATGAAAAGACAGAGAGGAAGTAGACAATGGGAGAAGAATTACAATAGTAATTGTAATTACTAAAGCCAAAGAAAGAGAAATATCAGCAAGCCAGGGGTGGTACACAATGTCATATGCCACAGAGACTAAAAAGGATGAGGACAGAAAAGAAGTCATTGCATTTATTAACAGGTTGACCTTGACAATCAGTGTTTCAGAAGAGAAGTGGGGCAGAAATCAGACTGAAGGAGGCTGAGGATTCAGTGAATTGTGAAGACATAGACCCAGAAAGTTTGGCAGTAGAGATATAAAGGTGGGGATGACAATTTGAAAGGTGGCATGATCAATGGAAAGTTTTTATAGGATAAAGTAAACCAGAATATATTATAAGTTAAGGGCTAGGAAGCATCAGGGAGATTGCATGAAAGATCTATAGGATGGAATGTAAACTCTTTAGTGAATAGAATTTAAGACCCTCCTTAAGGTCTAATTTTAACCTACCTTTGTAGCATGGTTTCACATATTTCCCTTTCATCAATCAGTAAACGTTAATTTTGTACCAGGCACTGGGTTAAGCACTAGGGATACAAAAAGAGACAATAGACAGTCCCTGCCCTCAAGGAGTCTACAATCTAATGGGGGAGACCACATGCAAACAAATATATACAAAACGTGCTATATACAGGATACATAAGAAATAATTAACAGAAGGAAGGCATTGGAATTAAGATTAAATTAAAGGTTTGGAAAGACTTCCTGTAGAAGATGGGATTTTAGTTGGGACTTAAAGGAAGCCAGGCAGATCAGTAGTTGAAGTGGAGGAGGGAGAACATTCCAGGCATAGGGGACAGTCATAGAGAATATTGGGACCCAAGAGATGAAGTGTCTTGTTCATGGGAAAAACTGAGGCCACTATCACTAGATTGAAGAGTTCATGTTGAAAAGTAAGGTGTAAAAAACCTGTAAAGGTAGAAGGGTACCAGGTTATGATAGGCTTTGAATGCCAGATAGAGTGTTTTGTATTGCTTCTGGAGGCAATGGGAAGTTTGTTTATTGGGAGGAGAGGTGGGGTTGGGCAGGGCTGGGGAGTGACTTAGACTCTTGCTTCTGGAAAATCACTTTAGTGGCTGAATGGAGGAAGGAGACTTAAGGCAGGCAGATCCAGTATTGAGGGCCTGCACTAGAGTGGTAGCAGTGGCAGAGGAGAGAAGGGTATCTATTCCAGAGATGATGTAAAGGTGAAATCAAAAGGCCTTGGCAACAGATTGGATATGAGGGTTGAGAGGTAGTGAGGAATCCAGAATGACTTTCATGTACTCTTTGTTTCAATACAACTGGTATTTATTCTCCAACTGTGTGTCTGAGAAGTTTGGCTTCCATTTCTGCAGGATACTCTTTCCTCAACTAAGGCTGAACTCAATTGCCATCTTCTCTTTGAAGCTTTTACCAGTTCCTACAATGAAAAGTGTTCTGTGCCTCCTTAAATTTTACTGGACCATCTTGTTGGGATTTCTTTTTTTGCTCCCTTCAAACACTATCTTGTTATCCCACCCCATAGTGGAATCTAAGCTCCTTGAGGCCAGCAACTCTCATTTGTTACCTTTTTTCCCCCATTATCTTACTCTTAGTATGTACTTAATAAATGTTTATTAAAACATCTGTTAATTGAATTAATTAATGTTGAAACATACATTTGCTGAATTTGAATAGAATTAAGGATCCAGGGGTTGAGTTATCCTTATCAAGGAGGAGGTCTACTGTGGGATGGGAGGGAAGAAGGAAAGAGTGAATAAGTATTTTGAGTGGAAGAGAGGAGTAGAACACAAGAGGAGCTCCTCCCAAAATGGCCTTACTCTGCTCAAGTTGGTAAAGGTCAGCAATTGAGTGTGAAAAAGGAGGAAGTGTTGAGAAAGACTGAGGAGTGTGAAAGAAACAGTCCCCTATTCATCCTTGATGTTCCTATTGAGCTCCATCTCTTTGCTTTTTCTATTGCCCTGGCCACCCTTCTACCTTCATTTTTTCCCTATTTTAGTCCAGTGTGTCCCTTTCATTCTTTTCATTCTCATTGCTTCTCCATAATGAAATCACTATTAAGATGGGTCATCCCTTTTTGTTGTTGTTGTTGTTGTTTTGCCCTGGGCTACAGGGAAAATAAATTTGGGGAAAGGATAAACTAAAGTTGAAGGGAAAAAACGACCTTTGTTTCATTGAGATTGTACTGTTTCTGCCTTGAGGTCCTTTGTCTCAGATTAAGTATTGAGTGACATTTGCATTTTTCTTTATTATAGATCAAGAAACCAGGACTATGAATGAGGAGTTAATTCTAAAGCAGGAAATTTCTGAAGAGGTGGAATCCCAGTGGATGGTTTCAGAAAGACCCAGAGAGGAAGTTTCCCAGGGACCTGTGTTTGGAGAAGCCCTTGAACAGGAGGTCAGGTTAGAGAGACAGCCGGGAAAATCTGGGGAGGAGAGCCTGAACAGATCCCTTTCCTTGGAAAGGGGTTTCAGACCAGTGACAGCAATCCACCAGACAACTTCCATAGAGGAGCAAAGCCAAGAATTTAATGAATTTGAGAGAAGCTTCAATCTTAGTTCAAACCATGTTACAGATCAGAGATTTCCTATCGAAGAGGATGCTCATTGTGATACCTGTGGTGAAATTTTTCAAGAAACTTCAGAGCTTATTGAACATGAGAAAATTCATATTGGAGAGAAACCTTATAAATGCGATGATTGTGGAAAGGCTTTTGGTCGAAGCTCACACCTTATTCAGCATCAGAGAATTCACACTGGAGAGAAACCCTATGAATGTAATGAATGTGGGAAAGCCTTCAATCAAAGTTCACACCTTGTTAGACATCAGAAGATTCACACAGGAGAGAAACCCTACGTATGTACTGAGTGTTGGAAAGCCTTCAGTCGGAACTCAGTCCTTATCAGGCACCAGAAAATTCACACTGGAGAGAAACCCTATGAATGTAGTGAATGTGGGAAAAATTTCAGCCAGAGTTCCGGCCTTAGGAAGCATCAGAGAATTCATACTGGGGAGAAACCCTATGAATGTAGTGAATGTGGGAAAGGTTTCAGGCTGATCTCAACCCTCATTCAACATCAGAGAATTCACACTGGAGAGAAGCCCTTTGAATGTGAGGAATGTGGGAAAGCCTTTCTGCGGAACTCTGGGCTTGTTGAACACCAGAGAAGTCATTCTAGGCAGTGAGCAGCCACCAAGAGTAGCAGCCTTCCCTTGTGAAGGAGGCAACATTGGATCAGACTCTTCATCTGGGATGACTCTGAAACATAAATTAATCTCAGTTGCATCATTTTTGCCCAGCAATGACCTATGTTAAGTCTCTCTATGTACCAGTGTCTTACCTTACAAGACCTAGTAAAAAGGAGAAGTTGGGGATCAGGGGTGCCCTGGAAAGAGACTTCCTTACTGAATGGAGGGGGGATGCAAAAGCACCTGTTCCTGAGTACAAAAAGGAAAAAGGGCTCAGGTGTGGCCCTTGAAACAAAAAGATACTGTGGTAGCTGAGTCACGGGAGCTGAGAGATCAAATTCCTATGACATTCCACTGAACACCAGAGAAAACTTGTTTTTATGATGCTTGTAACTTTCCCTTCATTTGTTCTTTTTATTGACCTTCTCCTCTTAAGCTCCCAACCCGTCTTCCTGTAGTTAGAGCAACAAAAACCTTCAGAAACACCCCTGGTACCTACATATTCCTGCCTCAGGGACAGGGGGTAGGGAGATACTGGGAGACTGGGTTCTGTGTTTTTGGAGGGGCCTAGATACAGTAGTGGCACCTAGGAAGGAAGCTGGTGGGAAAGAAGAAAGGGGTTATTGGGAAGCCAATCTAAAAACCAAGAAGTGCCTCTGAGGGTTTATCCCAGCAGGAGACCCTAAACCCTGCTGGGAGGGCTACCCAGAAAAAAACAGAGGTGGTTGGTGGGGGGCAGTGCACTACCACTCCTCATTCCTGCTCTGTGCTGTGCTTGCCACTTGAATGCTTCTTCAGGATTCAGGTTGCCCAAGTATGTCCCTAGCTTTCTCATGAATCTGATCTCAGATCTGTGGGAAGTCCTAGGGCCTCTTCATTCTCTGTCCCTCTCTTCAGCTGTAGAAATGGGAAGATCACCTATAAAGTCCTTTCCAGTTATAATTCTTGATCCTATTATCTTCTGTCCACTAGTCTGTCTCTCACTTTTCCAACTTCCAGAATGCTGTTAATGGGGACTCCATGTAAGACAATTTGTGTATGTAATATCAAGAACAGTGGATTTGGAGTCAGAAGATATGGGTTAAAATCCTAGCTCTACTGCTTACGATCTGTGTGAACTTGAGCAGTTCTCACATCTTCTGTGGGCCCCAGTTTACTCCTGTAAAACAAGGAGATTGGAATGTGAAAGTGTATGCAAGTCCTGAGCATTGTTCTAAGCTGGAAGACAGGCAAAGGACTTGCTTTTCCAAACTGCAGAGGAAGATGTGAGAATGGGTCAGCATGCCCTGGTCAGAATTGGCCCACTCCTGCAGGGGAAGTTGACAGAAACCATGAGTGTTTGGGTCACGTTTGGGGAGGAGGGGTGGGGTGAGCAGCCACGTGCATTAGTTGTCTCACTCCCACTCCCTAATTCCACGCAAAGGTGACTTTGGATCTCACTCAAAAACTTAGACTACTCTTTCTAAGGCTGACAAATCTCCTTAATTGCTAAATGTGGTGGCCTTCTCTCATCCCTCACACTTTCTCTGTTTGCAGCGACCATGAGAGAAATTGGCCCAGTTTGTTGTTCTCTCAAGGTTCTTCTGTCTCTAATTTCCTGGTCTCCTTTGCTGAATCATCCATCTCTTGCCACAAGTGTGGATGTCCCATAAATCCTTGCCGTAGTCCTTCAATCAATCAATCCCCAAGCACGTACTTCATGCCAGGTACTCAGTTAAGTGTTAGGGATACGAAGACAGAAGTAAAACAATCCCTGCTCTTGAGAAGCTTCCAGTCCAGCTGGGCTAGACTACATGCATATATAGACATTTATGAAATAGATATAAATGATTTGAGGGAAAGTACTAGTAGCTGGGGAGGAATAGAAAGGCTTCAACTTGAAGGTGGTGCTTGCTGAGCCTTGAAAGAAACTAGGGATTCTAAAAGGCAGAGGTCAATAGAACTTTATTTCAGGCTTGGAGGATAGCCAAAGCAAAGGCGATGCAGTAGGGATATAGGAAACGCAAGATCACTTTGGCTCACCTCTCCTGTCTTTGTGACTACACAGAAAATTCAAGTATCATTGGCTCCCAGGTTTATATATCCATTCATAATCACTCTCCTGAACTCCAGTCCTGCATTCAGTCAAATTCAGCATGCATTTGTTGAGGGCCTACTGGAAGAGGCACTGAAAGGTGCCAAAGATATAAGCACAAACAAGATGGTTTCTGCCCTGAAGGAGTTTATAGTCTACCTGGAGGAGACAACAGGTATTCAGATAAGCATCTGTAGAATAAATACAAAATGATTTTGGAAAAGGAGGAAGAGCACTGACAACTCTGATCAATCAGGAAAGGCTTCCTGTAGGAGGCAGCCCTTGAACTGAGCTTGCAGAGGGGATTTTACAAGGCAGAGGTGAGGGATGAGGACTTCCAGGCAAGAGGGAGACAGCCTTCACAAAGAGATGGAGTATCATGCTGGAGGATTAGTATGACAATTTGGGCTCAAACACAGAGTGTGAGGAGGAATGATGTGAGATCAGTTCATAAAGATAGGTTGGGGCTAAATTGTAAAGGGCATTAAATGCCAAGAAGTATTTTATCCTAGAGGCAATGGGGAGCCACTGAAACTCACCAGTTGCCTACTAGATTTTCCCACCTGGATACCCTGTAGTCATGTAGAACTCAAATTGAAAGCAGAATTCACATTTCCTCAGAGATCTATCCATCTTCCTAATCACCCAAGTTTATCACCTCTCTTGACTCTCTTCTCTTCACCCCCCCAGTTAATCAAATCTATTTTATTTCTCCTCTGGAATGCCCCTCATAGCAATCCCTTTTACTTCACTTCACCCAAATTGCCACCACCCTGGTTCAGGACCTTATCGCCTGTAACCTGAACCATTCCAATAGCCTCCTAATTGTTTTTCCTGTTTCCAATTCATCTGGTATACAGCTACCACAACTATTACTAAAACAGGTCTGACCATGTCCCTCCCCTATTTGGACATTTTAAGTAGCTCTATCACCTAAAGAAAAAATAAAGATTTCTCAGCCTGATCTTTAAGACTCTCCATAATGTCTACATATAGATAGATTTATATTTAATAAATAATAATTAATTGATAGTTATGCCATATTACTCTCCTCACCCTAGTTTCAGCCAAACTGGCATACCAGCTATTTACTAAATTTGACGTGCAATCTCCTACCTCTGTGCATTTGTATAGCTTTCTAGACCCTACCTAGGATTAATTTAAGGCTCAGCTTAGGTTCCAACTTCATGGCGCCTTCTCTGATCCTGTCAGTGATTAGTGGTGTCCCCTCAAATTACCTTGTTTTGACCTTTGAATAGTTTAATGTTGAGGGCAGGGTTGTCTCTATTGTCAGTATCGTGCACATAGTAACTGCTTTTAAAAATGTTCGATTGCCCACCGAATCTCAGAATGGATAGGGATCTGATAGGCACAAAAGTCCTCTCTACAGTTTGCATATATCTACAGGAACCTTTATTGAATCCTCTTGCAACTCATTAGAATGGGGGATGATATAACTATGGAGCTCCGTTCAGTAGGTAATAATTCACTAATTAACACAAGAAAGCAAAGTTGAACCTAGGTGAGTTTTCTAACATTGTTTCTTGGTTCCACTCCTCCCTCCCCCCCATGCCCTTTTCTAGCTTTTTTGGGCTGCTAGTAAGAAGACCTATTTCAAGCTAGTCTAGGCTGTGATGTTGATTTACTTACCTGAGGTTAAGTCCCTTCACCTTTTCTGGGCTTCAGTATCTTCCTCTGTAAAATGAGATACTAGATTGGATCCCTTTAATTTTTGCTCTCTATCCAGGCTCATTTCTTCTGGGAGTTACTCCCTCCATTATAACCTTCTTTAATCTCTCCTGATTCATTTTCTCTTTGCCACTGCCTTGAAAACATGCCTGAATTTCTCCCTTCCTTAAAAATCCTTCACTTGATTTGTGGACATATTCAACTTAAGAGAACATATAGCCCAGGCTTTGCCTGAAAAATCTGTCTAGCATGATTGCATTCATCAGAGGGGATTTTTTTTGCCTAGACAGAAGCTTTCTGTGCACCTGCCAATGTCTTAGGGGAATGTTAAATTGTTATAATGCCAAATAACAATATTGGGGATTTGTGTTTTTGTTCTTTTGAGGGTAAATTTGATACCACAGTTAACCTATATAGCTCATTAGAGACATTGTTATTGACCTAAGAGATGTGGGCACATTTATGTTTTCATTGGATGAGATAACTTACTGTTACAAACATACTTAACATAACTTTACTTTGGAAGTCATTAAGTTTTCTGACTGGTCATTGTAGGAAGGGGAAGTGATTTTTGTGGGGTGGGAAGTGATTTAAATAATGTCAATTCAGTAACTTTATTGCATTAAAATAATTTTGACAAAAGAAAGAAAAATTCACTTTTCCCTACCATCCCCTCATGTTCTTAGCCTGTATTCTCCCTTTTATAGCCAAACTCCCAAAGGGGTTATCTATACCTGCTGCCTCCATTTTTTCACCTCTCATCCATGTGTCGACCCCATACTTTCTGGCTTCCTATCCCACTACCTAACTAAAACTGCCCTCTCCAAGGTTACTAACAGTCTCCTTACGCGCCACTGACTTTTTCACAGTCCTCATTCTATTTGGCCCTTCTGCAGCTTTTGACACTTAGGAGCACTCACTCCTGGACACCATCCTTCCTTGAGTCCTGTGATGTTATTCTCTCTTTTGGTTCTCCTACCTGCCTGATTACTCTTTAGTCTGCTTTACTGGGTCATCATCCTCCCACCCACTAAATGTGGGCAACCTCAAAAGCTTTGTCCTGGGTGGGCGCTTGTCTTTAACATTTGTTTGGTGATATCAGCTTCTATGGTTGTAGCCATTGGCTCTATGCAGATGACACCAAAATCTATTCAGCCTTAATCTGTCTTAAATGAGCTTCCCCTGCTGTTTATCTCCTTCCAGTGTCCTGTAGCCGTTTCAAACTCAGCCATGTTCAAGAGAACTTGTATTTCCCCCCAAACCCTTCCACATTTCACAACCACAGGATCCTCCATGTGTCTTCCCTCTCTCATCTCCCAGACTCAACCAGTTGTTAAAACTTGTCAATTCTGCCTCTTCCTTAATCCAACCCCTCTCCACTTAGGCAGCCTGTACCCTATTTCAAGCCCTCATTACTTTTCCACTAGACTATTAAAATAGCCTCCCAGTTAGAATCTCCAATTTCTCTCATTCCACTCCATCCTCCTCACAGCTGTCCAGCTGATAATGCTAAGACACAAATCCAGCCATCTCACTCCCCTGCTTACCCATTACTACCAAGATAAGATACAAACTTCTGACCCTGACATCCAGTATTGTTTCATATTGTTCTTTTCATGTATTTTATTCAGGACAAGCTGACCTACTACCTGTTCCCTGTAAACACCATTCCGTCTCCCACTTCTGACCCTTGCTTAGGTATTTTCTACACAAGGTGGCTGGTTTGCATGTCCTTAGAATCACCAGATTCAGAGCACAACTGAGGTGCCATTTTTTGCATCAAACTTCTCATCCTGCCAGTTTTTAGTTGTCTTTCTCTTTAAATTATTTTTTATAGTATATAGTGGTTAATTAATGTTTGTTAATGGAGTTGAATTTCCTAGGTGCTTTCCAGTTCTAGCCATTAGGACTCAGGCTCTTGTACACAGCCCCTCTCTAGTCAGACCTCACATACCCAAGCATGCCTTCATTCTGTACTTGCATCGTACCAGTCATGGAATCCTCTCCTCCAAACCATCTCCCCTTGCTGCTAATTTAATTTCTGTCTTCAAGTAACGTTACTCCTGAATCCTCTAGCTCTACCAAATGTCCCAAGCACTCTGTCATTACATTCTCTCATTAAACTTGTTCAGCAACAGGCTAGTTTTCTGTCCAAACACTTTTCTTTACCATACCCAGGCTACTTTTCTAGCTCCAAAATGGCCAATCACATCTTTGAGCCAGATCCCCTTAAATAAAATAAGATTGCAGAAATGAAGGTGACTGTATTCCCCACAGGCTTGGTAACACAGCTGTTCTTTTTTCAGATCTTCCACACAATTCTGTCTGTGGCTTAGCCAAGAGAACTGTCAGCAGACTCCAGTGTTGCATAGGGAAGGGTGTGGAAAACCTGAAGCATTTATTGGCCTAAGACTTTATTTAACTTCTGCTTTTTGTTTCTCATACTGATAGAATGGGAGCCCCTGGAGAGCAGGGAAAGTTTTTTTTATTTTGTGTTGGTATCCCCAGCCGGTCAACTAGCATCTATTAGTTATCTGCTGTGTGCCTAGCACATAGAAAGTGCTTAATGATATACTTGATGGATACTGTTCTTCTAAAAACTTAAATGTTGCTAAGTAGCAGCCAAACCTTTCTGTAGCCTACAAGACTACACTTCTTTGTGAGGTCTATTCTCCAAAGTGATTTGGAGTCAAAAGCCTTGTTCATAGTACTTTAAGCTTGGATATAAAGCCTTCCCTCCTCTCCCCTCATACTCCTTTTGAGGAGGAAAGGACAGTGTTCTTTCCTTTCCATGCTCTGTGCCGTATGTTGAGCACTCAGGGCTTCTCTCCACTGATAATGCTGGACTGCAGCTGCCAGTGGATTTTAGCCTCTGAATCCAGGCTGATGGAGGGTAATTACTTAGCTCTCCCATCAAGGAAGGCCTGCTTGCACCTAGAAGTTGAGTGTTAGGGCTCCCAGGTGGAAAACATGAGCTCCAGGTTGGGCCCAATATAGCACATTCTATGTTCCTTGGATACTGATACATAGTCAGACAGTGGTTACTGTCCACTACTTTCCATAGTAGTTACGTCCACTAATGCATCTACACAAATTTCTCTCTTATCCTGGGCCTCCAGAATGTACTGAAAGTACATGCCATGACTTGCCCATACTGCCAACACTTAAGATGCTTCCCAATTTCAGGTGACTTCCAGTTATATGGGCTCAGGATTTAGGTTGCCAGTTCTTGGACCCATTAATTTCTCCTCTGCCCAAGTCTGCTGCATTCTTGCCCTGTTCTCTACTATTGCAACCTTGTCCAGCTGGATGAGGATGTCCATCAGACCTGTCTGATTATCAGGGACAGTATCCCCCAAAGTTATTTTGGAGTATATCATTCAGTCCCTGCTTCCCAGTGTACATTAAGACTCCTCCTTCCCCCAACTCCAGACTGTCCTCAAATGCCAAAACTCATTCTGGGATTAGCTTCATCCTTGTCTGATGCTGGGTAGTAATGATAGTGGCTGTACACTAAAAATGCAACAATGTCAGAGGCTCAGTTGCAAAAATGTTAGGCATTTAGATGATTAATGAGACTGTCCCTGAAATGACATGGTCTCCTATTTTCCCTAGAAAATATGGGCATATGATCACTGGCTTTTGCAGCATGTGTGCTAAAGCATTCTAGTGACCTGGGTTGGGTCATTTTATTGCTCTAAGAGTTCAGTGCTAAGTATTTGGCACCGCCCTGCCCCAATGTTCTGCACCACCATCCTCATTTCCTCCAGAGTAATAGGCAGAGGGAGCTGTCTCCATTGTGATCTGGACAATCTGGTCACTCATGGTCATGCTCTTTCCTGGTGCTCTAAGTTCCCTTGTGGGCCTGGCTCTTCCCCAAACAGCCATGAAATGATTTTGACAAGTGGTTATAAGACCAAATCTGATTATGCGCCTCTAATCATTGTCTTAATGCCCTTAAATCAACTCAGGAAATCAGAGACAGCTGTGTAGCCCTGTAGCCTTTTTTCCTTTTATGGGGGAAAAAACCACAAAACCAGGGAAAAGGTGAGGAGAGGCAGTGGGAATCACCAGAAACCTTTGTTGGACCTTTATTGGTTCCCTGATAATAGGAGACAACTGCCTAAACCAGGGGTGGGGAACCTTCGACCTCAAGGCCACATGTGGCCTGAAGTTTGGATTCAGTCAAAGGGCCACACTTGAGGATCTAGAGGGCCACCTATGGCCTCAAGGCTGCAGGTTCTCCATCCCTGCCCTAAACCCACTCTCCACAGCATATAATTCTGTTTTATCATCCAACCCCATACTTCATCTATTTCAAAATCTGAATTTTTCTAATGCTCTTTTTTCCCTTTGTTTCCTGAAAATTGTCCAAGGGTTTGGGTGTTGTCTCTTAACCACTGTTACTGGCTCCTAGAGCTATTTGCTAGAGCCACTGCTGGGGTCTGGATGGTCACATGACTGGAGTTGCAGAATTCAGACCCGGAGTTGACAAGCAGCTGTTGCCTACACCTGCTGTTAGGTCTCATCTTCAACATTTAGGGGTGGAATAATTCTTAGAATCAAAATGTCAACAAGATCAAATCACCAAGTAATTTTTTTTTGAGTGCCAACTAGTTGTTAGAAAAATCATCATGATGGAAAAATTGTTACTTAGGTTACTGAAACCACAGGAGACAGAATCACGTATATTGCCAAAATGGGAACAAGATGAACAGAACTAAGTTTGCCCCATCATCCCCTTCCTCTAGTGCTTTATGAGAAGCTGTCTCCAAGTTGTTTTTCTTTTTTGTAAATAACAGTCCTTGTCTTATGAAAATGAAAACAAAACGCAATTTTCTTTGTTATATGAGATAGTGCATCATGTTGCATTAAAAAGAGCACCTCATTTGTAATTAGAGGATGGGTTCAAATCTCAGCTCTGTTAATTACTATTTTGTGTGACATTGAGCAAATCACGTAATCTTTCTAAATTTCAGTGTCATCTTCTGTTAAACCTCAGGAGGTTGGATTCAGCAGTTTGAGAACTTTTTGACCTAAGGTCAGTCTCCTCTGCACTCGATAATCATTGGGGACTCCTCCCAAAGCACTTCTATTTATGTGACTTTTATCTATTGATATCATATTATAAAGTAAAACATTAGTATTACTATGAAAGTAATTTTCATTCAGTCAGTAAACGCTTATTAATTGCCTGCTCTGTGCTAGGCACTGTGCTAAGCTGGAAGTTTTGACCTCATGGATCAAATAAATGGGTCTTGGGGATCCCTGGGACACACCTTAAAAGCTGCTGGATTGGATAATCTCTAAGATGCCTTTCAGAAAATGAGTAACATCTGACAAACTGTATTGGATTAATGAAAAGGGGAGTGGGGAGATAATCCTCTCAGGGTAACAAAAAAACAAACTGGTAATGGTGTAGAATAATGAAGGGCACAAATGAAAACCTCTCAGATAAAAATGTTTTCTTGTTCTTTGACTTATCAGATCTGTAATTTCATCAGTATGGGAATTCCAGTAATACAGATT